AGAGTTAACTTGCAGCTTGATTTCATGCTCAATTTTCTCCGCTTTGGCAATGGAGCTATGGGTGAGGGCAAGTGTGAATTTTTATTAAATCACCTGGTTTAGTATGGTTGCTTCAGCTGGGATTACGAAAACTTATAAAGAGATAAATGTGGCTGAGAAACAAGTTTAGTTGAAATGATTGTCTTCAATTTCTGAATGGTTTAATTATTTAATCTTCCAATGGTTCTTATTATAGTTTTAATAGCACATACAGCTTCATCTAGACCCTTCTATAGTTTGTTAGTTAGTTAGGAATTTAGTCTATAAATAGATCAATGTAATGCGATTATCAATTGAGCATTTGATGAATAATAAAATCCTTCTTCATCATGTTCCTTCAATGTGATTTCCATATTGAATCTATCATTTAGTTTGTCTGCATTTATCTTTTCATTTTCGTTTTATTCCTGCAGTTTAAATTCAGTTTGTTTCACTATATTTCTGCTGATTTCACGTTCATTTCTGCTGGTCTGTGTTGCTGAACGTAGTCTGTTCTTCCTCTCTGCTGGTTTCTGTATTGCTGGTGTTATTGCTGAATTCGTTTTCTCAACATGGTATCAGAGCGTAATGATGCTTCCGTATGCAATTCTATCAGTTCTTCCGCCTTCTCAAATCTGAAATCTGGAATGAAGAAATCTGCTGGTTCCATTTAATATCTGTTGCTGATCACATCCGCCGCATGTTTGTTAAAATGCTTGAGCGGAGTTGCACTGGTGGTTTTCTTCCAGTCATTGCTGGACCTTTATTTTANTTTCTTCCAGTCATTGCTGGACTTTTATTTTAGCATTTCCATTTCTTCTTTCACTCATCAATGGTGATGATGTATGTCTTCAGCAAATCCCCGGTTGAGAGCCATAGATGCTCCATTTATTCCGATTTTTTATGTTGCTGATTTTTCTTCCTGGAATGCTTCTCTTTCAACCCCAAGCTTCTCTCCTGCATCTCCGAGTTTCCTCTATAGTTGAAGATGTTACATCTTGAGGGGGAGTGTTGAAATAATCTCACATGCTCACCAGCAACATTGGCTTCATCAGCAGCCTCTTCACCAGCACGTTCAGCATGCCTATTGCCTTCTTCCAGATGCTTCTATTCTCCAGCTCACGTCCAGCAAATGAGTTCACATGGCCTGCACATACAGCTTCATCTAGACCCTTCTATAGTT